TTCCAACAGTCACTCAAAAGGAGTAATAATCAGTGGCAGTATTCACCTCTTTGCTAATACCAACTCATTTATAGCAGTCAATCAGTATTCATTTAAAGTTGCAATGGTTCTCACAATAAATCTCTTGGCAAGGAGGCAGGGTTTATCCATTTGCTCTATTTGTGTGTTACTTTAAACCAAAGAGTAAACTAGATAATCTAGATCAAATATGTATTCCAGATTAGTCCACCTTTTCGCAAAGGGTAGGCACAAAGTTTCTCTTCAGTTAGCAGAAGGCAAAACTGAAATTGCCGTATGAACTGCCCATAGCTCTCAAGGTCCCAGCAGAGCATATGAATGCCCTTTCCAAAGCAGAATGAGCCACCTGTTGTCTGCAGGAGACCACGCTAAGAACGGTCCAAATCTGAGCTCTACGGAAGACTTTCCAAAGGATGTGGGCCAGCAGCTGTTTCCCTTCACTGGGTTGTGCTAGCCTCAAATTAAAGCATGAAAATAAAGAAATAGTTCTGAGTAACAGCAGAACTGGGAAGGCCAAATTTCCCAGTGAAATGGAAATGTGCATTGTTGGAACTGTCCACCCTCTATTTCTGCTGACATATGGCTTGGTGTGCTGCCCCCGTTGTGGTTTTGGGCATGCAGGGTATACGAAGGAGTACTCTATATAGCTCCTGCTCCTTCCTCAGCAAGCAAAAGACCAATTTGCATTAATACATTTTTTCAAGCTATCTGAAAAATCCAAGCCAATTATTATTCAAGTCAGCACTGAAGTCCAGGGAAGGTTAGGGAAAGGCCATCTCCTTACTGCTGCGAAAAGAGACAACGAAGAGTGAAGATAAGACTGTAGATATGTTAGCTCAGGGCAGATGCTTCTCTGTCTCAAATTATTTGTAGACACTGGTCATTGTTCACCTCCTGAAGGTATTACCCTGCCTGAAGATGATGATCCCATTTGATTTTGGTGGAAGTTAAGTACTCTACATTGTCACAAATCTAGTGCTTAGGCTGCATTTAGTTACATTAAAGCCTATTGACTCTAGAGAACGGGAGGTCACATATGTACCTTAAAAACACATCAGCATGTTCTCCCAGCCTGTCTACGGAGGTTGGAAAAGATGGTTCTTCTAACAAGAAGGCAGAAGAAATATACACTCTTCCTATGCAGACRAGTAGAGACCTTTTCTCTGCTCGTTCCCTGCTCAGGTCTGCACATCAGCTTGGCAGTAATCTACCTCCCAAAGCCTTGCAACCCTTGCACAGTCTCAAGCTCTCTTAGTGGTTGCTGCACCCACACACTACTCTGCTAACATGCAAGGCAGAGTGCAAAGGAACAATACCTTATACCGTTTCCTTTACCATTTTATAAACAAGAGCTCGTTTTAAGTGATTCTAATAAAAAACAGTAAAATTTGCCCAGATGAGGTAGAAGTTACAGTAAACACCACTGTGAATGCCCAGCACATCAATCCATCTCTTTCCAGACATACAAGTGATGTTCACAGCGATGACATCTTTGACATCGTCACTCCTCTGCAGGGRAGCCAGAGTCCCTTGTCTCCATATGTCATTTCAAGAGGTATGCTTTCCAGAGAGAAGTGATTCCAGGTAGGGACAGACAGTAGAAAGTCATATGAAATGTTCAGCTATTTGTTAAGAGTGAAAACAATTTGCCAAATATCAATTCAAGAAATTATTTTTGAATCAAGTTAAAAGCATGGTTATTTTACAGACTTCAAAACCAGGAAGGATCACTGCGATCAAATCTTACTTCTAATAAAACACGGATCTATGATTTCACTCAGTACAGTTCACATCCAGTACTTGCTTGCATGCTCAGTCCCCCAAGAAATTCAACTTATAATTTTCTAGTACAGCACCAGGAAACATCATTTTCCTTGGTAGTAGAATCAAGAAGAGCTTCAGTCTCAATTGCTTATTTTTGAAAAAAATAGAAGAGAATAAAAGGAAGTATTCCAGGACAAGCCAAATATAATATTTCAATTTTCCCGTTTGTAACCACTTTTTTTTTTTTTTTTTTTTTTT